CTGGGTTGCGAGAGGATTCGCGGCATTCGAGGAGGCGGAATCGTCGAGTGACCGAGTTTTGGAGTGCCGTGAAGTGAGATTCGAGGTCGGACCATGATATAGAGAAAGAAGACATGAGCAAAGAGTTGGCTTGGAGATTATCGAAGGCTTTCTTGAGCTCACCCTTTTTGACGTCTATGATTTCGATCGCCGATTCAATTGTTTTCAGCGATGGCGTCGCCGGAAGACTTCCCGGTCAAGGTCTTTCGATCAAGGTCGCAATAAACGAACATAATAAACAAACATAAAGAACAACACAAACATAATAAACAAACATAAACGAACAACACAAACACACAAAATAAACGTATTCAAACCGCAACAAATATATAAAAAAATAAACAATAAAAATAATAATTTAAAATTCATTAATATAAATTGTAACTTTAGAATTAATTTGTTCGAATACAATAAAAATATACATAAATCATAAATAAACTATACGAATATAATAAAGCCTTATAATTAATTTGTTCAACAAAATAATCTTCTTGAAATCTAAACAACTTCAATAATCTTCGTAACATATTCAATTTGTCCTCTGTTCGAACATAAATGAACGAACATAAACGAACATATAATCGAACGTTCACAAACATAAATGAACGAACGAGCCCTTTGTTCGTGTTCGTTCATTTAATTAAACGAACGAAAAATCTTGTTCATGTTTGTTCATTTAATAAATAAACAAACTTCCCGTCGCACGATTCGCTGAACGTTTAGTTCATTTACAAGCCTAATAACCGATAATATCATATCTAGTATAACATAAATAGTTCAATATAATGTTTTTATTTGGTGTAAGCATCTACTAGGTCCCTCTATTATTGGGACTATATCAATTTGGTTCATGTACTATTAAATCGATCAATCTAATCCTTCATTGTAGAGATTGGTTCAGTTTAACCATTCCATTGTGGAGACTGGACAAATTATCCCTTACACTATTAAGCAAATCAATTTTGCTCATATATTAATAAACCAGTTTTGGATAAAAGTACAAAATCTCACCCCCATCATGTGGTTCTCAGCAAATTTAATTTTGATTTATGATATCCGTTCCGATTTCCATTAAATTGTGTAGGATGTATTAATAGGATGATAAAAAAAATACTGAAATTTTAAAATGCTAAAAATAAAGTTGAACTCTTAAAAACCAAAATAAAGTTATTAAATTCCAAATATCTAAAAGGATAAATTACAAATTTCATCATTGAATTTTGCTCGCTCTCCTATTTTGCTCATTGAACTTAATAAATTAGGTTCTTTTAGTCACTGAACTTTACCCTCTTTCTCCCCTTATTCTGATCACTCTACCGTTAAATAGTTAACGGCATTAAAAACAACAACATTTACAAAAAATTCACCAAAGACATCGTTTTGCATCTATATAATAACTCATTTTAATGGCGTTAACTATTTAACGACCGAGTGACAAAAAAAAACTCAATGCATTAAGTTTAATGAGAAAATTAAAAAGAATTAAAGTATAGTAAGTTAAATAGGGGCGGAGAGAGACAGTAAAGTTAGTTACCAAATTTGTAATTTGCCATCTAAAAATATAGAAACTTAAAATTGAATTTAACTTTTGAGATTTAATTAATATTGGGACAAGTATAAGGTATTACCTGTTTAAAGATAATCATAATCATTTGGCTTCTTTTTTACATCTAATTTTGTTAATTTTAAAAATGGGAAGGAAAAAAAAACTTTTAAAATTTCGACAATGATTGGAATTTGACTTCTTTTTACATCTAATTTTGTTAGTTTTAAAAACTATAAGGGAAAAAAATTGATTATTGAAGCATGGGATTGATGGCACTCGCATGTGGCCAAAACAACTTGGATATAAGCACATTCTCCTTCATGTTGTCACAAGAAAATGTCAAGCTCTAAAACTAGCTAGGGATCCCATCTTCTATAACTTTTTCTTTTACATAATATATGTAATACAAACAAACACACTACGATCATATTATCTATAATTTTTATATAAAGAAATTTTAGTTTCTGCTTTTCCATGTGCCCTGCTCCGTTACACGCTGTATTTGTAGATTAAGTTTCTGCTTCTGATATATATATATATATTAATGGTGAGCTCTCCATAAACCCGCCTTTTTTTAGTTTTCTTTACTCTTTTTTATTTATTTTTAGTTTGTTTTGGCTTAAAAACTTAGCTTTTGATGATAAAATTTTCTTAGGCTTGATGTGTTGTCAGTTGTTTTTAAGAATTTCCTCTCTATATTAACATTTTCCGCAAGTTCTTTCATATTTTTATGGCGTTTTCTTGTTCTAGATTTTCCATTTATTTGTTTAAGATTCATCGCTGTTTGTCATTGTTTTAGTTCTTAAACTTTGATCCAACACGGAAAAAGAAGTTTCTTTTAACTGGTTTTCGATAAGGCTCCTTGATCGCTTACGTGTATGGCGTGAATATTCTCGTGAGTAGATGTCTAGTGTCAATCCAGTCCAGCCCAGTCCGAAAAGGATACGGAGCCCTTCGTCGAGGTCGATCCGACCCGCCGTTATGGTCGTTACACGGAGCTTCTAGGGTGCGGGGCAGTTAAAAAGGTTTACCGTGCATTTGATCAAGAAGAAGGCATTGAAGTTGCAAGGAACCAAGTCAAGCTAAGGAATTTCTCTGACGATGCGATCGATCGGCTTTACTCGGAGGTCCGGTTGTTAAGATCGTTGGCCAACAACATCATAATCTCATTGTACAACGTTTGGCGCGACGAGGAACATAACACCCTGAATTTCGTAACCGAAGTGTGTACTTCTGGGAATTTGAGGGAATGCAGGAAGAAACATAGGCAAGTTTCAATGAAGGCGTTGAAGAAATGGTCAAAGCAGATTTTGAAAGGCTTGAACTATTTGCATTCACATGAGCCTTGTATCCACAGAGATCTTAATTGCAGCAATGTTTTTGTTAATGGAAACACTGGTCAGGTATGCTTTTTTGGTTAGATAAAGTTCTTTTTATTATATGTTTGGTCACTACTCACTAGGAAAATACTGAGGGGGAAAAAGAAAAGAAAGAAAAAGTTGGAGAATACTATTCTCTCCTCACTTCGGATTGTGAATCACAACATTAATTATTGATCCTTCAACAGGTTAAGATTGGTGATTTGGGGTTGGCAGCTATCGTTGGGAAGAATCATTCCTCTCACTCGATACTCGGCACACCGGAATTCATGGCACCGGAGTTATACGACGAACATTACACCAAACTCGTTGATATATACTCATTTGGCATGTGTGTTCTAGAGATGGTGACCTTGGAAATCCCCTATAGCGAGTGTGACAATGTGGCCAAAATTTACAAGAAAGTGTCAACTGGAGTTAGGCCTCAAGCCTTAAACAAGGTTAGAGATGAGGATGCGAAGGCATTCATTGAGAGATGCATTGCTCAACCCGGGACAAGACCGTCAGCGGCGGAGCTGCTCGAGGATCCATTTTTCGACGAAGTTGACGATGACGACGAAAATGAACAATAGCACTTAGGTATAGACTCTTGTTCATGGTTGATGTATTATTCAAATCCAAACTCATGGTTGCTTTCCCTTAAAATATTTCTTTTTTCAAGTAGATTAACTGGATTAAACTAGTTTAATTTGTGCATATCCTTTCATAAACATACATCAAGTTTGAATGGGAGAAGGTTGAGTGTGAACCTAACTTGTGTTTCTTGAGCATGAATTACTCAATATTGTATGTATTTGAAGTAAAGTCAGATCAATATACAACTGAAAAGAAAGATCCACTCAAAGGGTATGAATTAATGGGTTGTTGTGATGTGAGCATGCTATGTTTCTGAATATTAGTGGCTCTTGGCAATGGCATATGGAGCTTTGAACATATTTTATATTATATGAAGTTTTGTAATAAGGATTCCTTTTGTTATGTATTTGCTGTCACACTCAAATATGTTCAGAAATTATTGCTATAGCCTGGCACTTATCTGGCTGGCCTTCACTCATTTCCATTTCAAAAAATTTTATTCCACGATTTCATCTTCATCTGTTGGTGGTATGCGTCTTTGTCAACAATTTTTTTTTGAACAGATTAATCACTCTAAACTATTCAATTTTTTTTACAGATTTGATGATTTGTCAAATTTTGTTAGTTATCTTTGATGATTTTATCACATATATTGTTGGTGTCTTTTATGATTTAGATGATATTTGGAGGAGAGTTTATGGATATATGACAAAAGTTATGAGTTTTTTTTTTTTTTGGAAGTGATCTTTACATGAAGGAACTAAGAAAGGATATTTTAAGGAGCTAAAATGTAATTTCTCTGTTGGACCAATTTATAATTTCATGTCTTCCTTGAGGGACTATAGAGAGATTTATCAATTTTAGTCAAGTTTGCAGGCATCTAACTTTTGTATATTGTTCTCTAATAGAATATCATGTATAGTATGCCTTCAGTTAAAAAAGATGCCTTTGATTCCATGGAAAAACACAGTTGCAAATCCATTATGATATAATTTTTTTATGGATATTCGGTTTAATTCAAGGCAAGAAATGGTAAAACGAGGTATGTTTGCTTCTTTTTGGAAAAGAGAAAAAAAAAAGAACAAATCAAGCTGTCTGGTTTTAGTTCTTAGGTTGTTCCATAAACATTGTTCTTGTCCCCAGGTATATCTCATCACTTTCTTGAATATGATATTGTTTTTCATTACTAATGTAGTCTGATGACTATGATAGCTTCAACTGTGTTCACTGCCAAGTACCGACTCCGAGCACGATATTGAAGGCGTCTCGGGTAATATTCTAGTAAGAATCTTATGTATTCCATTGGAGATATCTAAGGAAATATCCTCATCTGATATATCAAAAACAAGGAGGAACAACAATGTACTGCGATCCCATCAAGGTGTGCCTTATTGAAGTACCAACTCAAACAATGGCCGATAGAAGTTGTCGAAACAATACAGAGAAGAGCCGGTTCTGACATGTTTCGGAAGGGGCTAATATGCATTGCAGTTGTTACTGGACTAGCTGCAGTGTGTACTGGACGTGAGTTGCGTGAATCCGAATCTTTCCGTATCAGCCGAGAATTCAAGGATGTATGTAAGTATTCCAAGGAACCGATTGCCCTACGACGAGACGGTGTTTTAATTGTAGCAGGACAGAATGAAACTGCAGCAGGACCTCCAAGAGAGTCCAGTGAAGAGAATTCAAACAAACAATTTGTTAGGTATGACTCATAAATATACCAGTAAAGACAAAGAAAGTCTCGTTGTGGGGTTACAAATTATGTGGGTTGGGGGTGCGGGGGCGTAGCCCCCCCGGTACGGTACAGGGTTAATTTTGTAATTATGTACCAGGGTTTTCTATTATAAATAGAGATGTAACCTAGACCTAAAATATCATTGAATAAAACTTCTAGCGCCGCCTAGGCACCGAGGACGTAAGCACATTGCCGAACCTCGTAAAATTCTCGTGTTCTTTCGTTTTCTTTACCCGTTTTCGTCAACAATTGGTATCAGATGTCAGGAGCAAAATTCGAAGTCGCGAAATTCGATGGTCAGGGTAACTTCGGATTATGGCAAACGAGGGTGAAGGATCTATTGGCGCAGCAAGGGATCTTGAAGGCTTTGCGACCTACAAAGCCGGCGTCGATGGATGAGGAAGATTGGGAAGAATTGCAGCAGCGAGCGGCAGGAACCATACGATTATGCTTGGCGGACGAGGTCATGTATCACGTCATGCATCTATCGTCTCCAGACGAAATTTGGAGGAAGTTGGAAAGTCAGTTCATGTCCAAATCCTTAACGACAAAACTGTATCTGAAGCAGCGGCTGTATGGGCTGAAGATGCAGGACGATCACGATTTGGCGCAACACGTGAATGTCTTCAATCAAATCGTTTCTGATCTGGCTCGGCTTGATGTGAAAATTGAGGATGAAGACAGAGCGATGATTCTGTTGTGTTCGTTGCCTTCCTCTTACGAACACATGGTGACTACTCTTACATATGGGAAAGAGACTATCAACGTTGAGGAGATTACTGCAGCCTTGTTGGCTCACAACCAGCGGAAGCAGAATGCAGGGGAAAGCTCTCAAGCCGATAGCTTATATGTCAAGGGTAATCGAGATCGTGGACGGAAGCCAGAGAAGGCAGGGTCCGGGAAGCGGAATTCCAGATCCAAATCCAGGGATAAGAAGACGATTCACTGTTACAAGTGCAAGGAGGCGGGACATATGAAGCGAGACTGTCCGAAGTTGAAAAAACAGACTGATGAGAAGCGTGATGGCTCATCCAAGTCTGTGAACGTGGTCGAGGATGATAATTCTGATTGCAGTGAGGGTGATATGCTTTCTATTTCAACGACACAATTGACGGATGCTTGGATTCTTGATTCTGGATGTTCTTATCACATCATGCCAAATAGGGAATGGTTTTCGACATACAGGCCGGTTAATTCTGGTTCGGTTTATTTGGGTGATGATCGATGTTGCAATATTGTTGGTATTGGTGATGTCAGAATTAAGATGCACGATGGCTCCGTTCAGACGTTGAGTGGTGTTCGACATATCCCAGACTTGAAGAAGAATTTGATTTCCTTGGGCACTTTGCACAAGAATGGTTTTATCCCTAAGGCTGACGAGGATAGGGAAACCATTCGGATTGTTAAAGGAGCATTGACTGTGATGAAAGGCAAGATGACTGCAGGGAATATCTACAGATTGTTAGGGAGTACCGTTGCAGGTGGAGTTCACTCTGTTGAGTCCTGTGATGATACGACAAAATTGTGGCATATGCGCCTTGCTCATCTTAGTGAACGTGGTATGGCAGAATTACACAAGAGAAACTTGTTGCATGGTGTCAAAAGCTGTAAGCTCGATTTTTGCAAGTATTGTGTTCTTGGTAAACAGACTAAAGTCCGTTTCAAGACTGCGAAGCACACAACTCAAGGGATTCTTGATTATGTGCATTCTGATGTATGGGGGCCTTCCACGACATCGTCTTTGGGTGGATCTAGGTACTATGTTACTTTTATTGATGATTTTTCACGGAAAGTTTGGGTGTATTTTTTGAAACAGAAATCTGAAGTTTTTGAGAAGTTCAAGTTGTGGAAAGCTGAGGTAGAAAACCAAACAGGACGAAAAATCAAGTGTTTGCGGTCTGATAATGGTACGGAGTACACAGATTCACAGTTCCTACAATTCTGTAAGGAGCATGGGATTCAGAGGCATTTTACAGTGCGCAAGACACCACAACAGAATGGTGTTGCGGAACGAATGAACAGGTCGTTGAATGAAAGAGCCAGATGTTTGCGGTTGAATGCGTGGCTTCCCAAACACTTCTGGGCTGAGGCTGTTAACATGGCGTGTTACCTTATCAACAGATCGCCAAGGGCATCGCTGGCTGGGAAAGTTGCAGAAGAGGTATGGACTGGTCATGATGTTAGTTTTGATAACTTACGGATTTTTGGTTGTCCTGCTTATGTGCATGTACCTGCTGATGAGAGATCCAAACTTGATGCAAAATCGAAGGAGTGCATTTTTCTGGGTTACAAGAAAGGTGTCAAAGGATTCAAGTTCTGGGATCCAGTTGCGAAGAAAGTTGTGATTAGTAGAGATGTCGTTTTTGATGAACAGTCTATGTTGCAGCAGAAGCAAGACACGACAGTGGTAGATTTCGAGCAGTTTCCAGTTGAGAAACTAGAAACTTCTCAACCAACTTCTGGTGGTTCCACTACGGATGATTTGCAGGATTATAGTCTCGCCAGAGACAGGGTGAGACGGACGAATATAAAGCCTCCGAACAGATTGGGTTTTGAAGACTTGGTATCTTTTGCACTTACTGTTAGCAGTGATGATCCAGTTACTTTTCATGATGCCGTTACTAGTCAGGAAAACGACAAGTGGATGGCAGCCATGGTTGAGGAGATGGAGTCTTTGAATCACAATCGCACATGGGAGTTAGTTCCCCTTCCTGAGGGTAAGAAGCCGATTGGTTGCAAATGGGTGTATAAGAAGAAACCAGCAGTAACAGAAAAAGAGGGGGAGAAGTTCAAGGCTCGTTTGGTAGCGAAGGGTTTTTCACAGCAGAAAGGAGTTGATTATGATGAAATCTTTTCTCCTGTGGTCAGGCACACTTCAATCCGAGCAGTACTTGCATTGGTGGCTAGTTGGGATTTGCATTTAGAGCAGATGGATGTTAAAACTGCTTTTTTGCATGGTGATTTAGAGGAGCAGATCTACATGCGGCAACCTGAAGGTTTCACTCAACCTGGAAACGAGCATTTAGTTTGCAGATTGAAGAAATCTTTGTACGGGTTAAAACAGTCTCCGAGACAGTGGTATAAACGGTTTGACTCCTATATGATCAAGATTGGCTACAACCGATGTGAGTATGATTGTTGTGTCTATGTTAAGAGCCTTGATGATGGTTCTTTTATTTTTCTATTACTGTATGTTGATGATATGTTGATTGCTGCGAAGAACATGGATGATGTTATCGGTTTGAAAACTTTATTGAGTCAGGAATTTGATATGAAAGATTTAGGTGCTGCAAAGAAAATTCTTGGAATGGAAATTTGCAGGGACAGAGACTCAAGGAAACTGCGGCTATCTCAACGGGGTTATGTTGAGAAAATGCTAGAAAGGTTTGCGAGCAGCGCGAAACCAGTTAGCACTCCATTGGCGAATCACTTTAAGCTCTCATCAGAACAGTGCCCTAAGACAGATAAGGAAGCTGAAAATATGGCAAAGGTTCCGTATTCTAATGCTGTTGGCTGCTTGATGTATGCGATGGTATGTACTCGTCCTGATTTAGCTCATGCTGTTAGTCAAGTTTGTAAGTACATGTCTAAACCTGGTAAGCAACATTGGGATGCAGTCAAGTGGATCTTTCGGTACTTAAAGGGTACTGTGGGACATAGAATTGTTTTTGGAAGTCAGCGGGATAATCATTTGGTTGTAGGATATGTGGATTCAGATTATGCAGGTGACTTGGATAATAGAAGATCTACGACAGGGTATGTGTTTACTCTTGGTGGAGGGCCTATTTGCTGGAAGTCTACTGTTCAATCTGTCGTGGCACTATCTACAACTGAAGCTGAATACATGGCAGCGGCTGAAGCTGCAAAAGAAGCTTTATGGCTTACTGGTTTAGTGAAGGAGTTGGGTGTTCAACAAGGTGGAGTTCAGTTGCTTTGTGATAATCAAAGTGCTATTCACTTGGCTAAGAATCAGGTGTATCGTGCTAGAACTAAACATATTGATGTAAGGTTCCACAAGATCAGAGAGTTGGTTGCATCTGGAGAGGTTTTGTTTCAGAAGGTATATACTGATGAGAATGCCGCTGATATGTTCACCAAGCCAGTTACGACAGACAAGTTCAAGCATTGCTTGGACTTGTTGAATGTTTCGAGTTGTTAAAGAAGCAAGGTAATCCAACCCACATTGAAGTTTCCAAGGGGCAGGATATTCGCCAAGGTACGGTACAGGGTTAATTTTGTAATTATGTACCAGGGTTTTCTATTATAAATAGAGATGTAACCTAGACCTAAAATATCATTGAATAAAACTTCTAGCGCCGCCTAGGCACCGAGGACGTAAGCACATTGCCGAACCTCGTAAAATTCTCGTGTTCTTTCGTTTTCTTTACCCGTTTTCGTCAACACAATTGGTGACTTTTCTGCCTTTATTTCTAGGCTTCGGGGTCTTCTGTGTGTTCTTATACTGTATGAGCAAGAGAGCAGATACAAGAAGAAAAGAGAATGAGATTTCAATTGCTCAGAAAGAATCGCCTCGCAAACTTGCTCCGGCCTATGCCATAAGAGAAGTGAGGCCGGAGGGTGGACACCAACAGCTCGTGTTCTTTGCCAAAGACCATGAAACGTTTAAACTAGATGATCTCTTAGCTGCCTCGGCTTATTTACAAAGCCAAAGCTCTTACACCAGCTTCTACAAGGTAGTACTTAAGAACAATGCCACTTATGCTGTCAAAAGATTGAAGAAATTGCAGGTGAGTTTCGAAGAATTTGGCCAAACAATGAGGCGGATAGGGAACTTGAAGCAACGGAACATTCTTCCTCTTGACGGTTACCGTTGTACGAACGATGAAAAATTACTGTTCTACAAGTACCAGAGCAATGGGAGCCTCCTAAACTTTCTACAAGGTAAGATTTTAGATTTTTCATCGAGAATGAATGTGCACACAAATGAAACATCACCTCAACATAACGGTATTGCATTGTTCTTTCCTAAAAATGCAAAAAATCGAGGCTGTTTTTGTTAACTTGCAGGCTACATTGAGGGTAAAAATGAATTCCCATGGAGGCTTAGACTCGCAATAGCTAGAGGAATTGCAAAGGGATTGGCATTCATACATCAGAGTTTCAATAACCAAGAAAGCATTCCTCATGGAAATCTAAAGCTCTCAAATATACTGTTGAGTGACAACATGGAACCACTGATTAGTGAATATGGGATTTCAAGGCTTTTAGACCCCAAACAGAGTTCCCTCTTCTCTTCCAACGGTTATACGGCACCGGAGAAAAGTTTATCTGAACAAGGCGATGTTTTCAGCTTCGGGATTATCCTACTGGAGCTGCTAACCGGTAAAACCGTGGAGAAAACCGGAGTCGACCTTCCTCGGTGGGTCGGGTCGATGGTGAGAGAAGAATGGACCGGAGAGGTGTTCGACAAGGATGTCCCTAGAGCTGCAATGCAGTGGACATTTCCTTTGCTAAATATCGCTCTCATGTGTGTATCACATTTGCCTCAAGACAGACCGACTACAGCAGAAGTAGAGCAGCAGATCGACAAGGCGTTGCTTGCGCATGAAGACTGTTCGGTTTCGTCTATGTCGTCGTTGGCATCCGGCCACCAGGATTGTTGTATGCTTCATAGTGTCATACCCGAGACATGGGACACACCGGGATCGAACTATTAGCCGATATTTCAATATGTTTTTAGAAGAAATAAAATCCTGTACCACTGAAGACCTTCCATGTTAAGCTAAACAAGACTTATCTATCCAAGCCCTTTAAATGAAATACAGAAGCCATTAAGCCTATGTACAAATTGAGGGCGAGAACAGAATTATAAGTCATGTTACTATCATAATAAACGTGACAAATATTCGTCTCTTTTCCTTTTTTATCTGAAAGTTACCTGCTAACCATTGCAAGATCATCCATTTTTCTGCTTAATTCAAACAAAGAAAGTTCATATATTCGAAAAACTTCGAATACATGAAAAATCTTTAAGAAAAATAATCGAATATACCAGTATCTGTAGCCAAATACATGCTTAGTTGCTTACAAGTAGCTTTGTCTTACCAAAGATATTTCCTATCCACCTTCTAGTTCCTCCACTTGCCATTTCTCTACCCTAATTTGATAAAAACAACAAAGACAATCATTATTATTTATAGTCTTGAAATAAGCTCAAAATGATGTGAAACAGGCAAATTATAAATACAATATTGGTAAGAAATAATGGGATTTGGCCATTTGGGATCATCAATCTCTTGAAATGGTACAGCTCCATTTGGAAGTTATGGCCTTCATTATATTTTGGGTCAAATTTTTCCATCAATCCTTGTACTACATATATAAGAGTTATAGGTTTAATCTCTATATTCTAATTTGATCATTTTTAATTCTTATACTTGAATCCGTTAAGTGACCTCAATAATATAATAAGATTATTGCTCTTCCTAAAAGTTCAGAGTTCAAACAACTGCGTTATCGATAATTAAAAGAAACGGTATAAAACCATAAGTTATACTCATATAGTTATAGTAACTAACGAAGAAATTAACTTATATATTCTTTATATCTAATAAACCAATTTGAATTTCCAAGAAGATCTATTGGGATCTTGGACCTAGAAAAAAGAATTGTCTATTTTGTATAGTTTATTACATTGCTTGTTCACTTGTGCTATGCATAAAAGTTGCAGGCTAAATGCCAAATCATAAATTATGTCCCAAAATATCTTAAAATAAACCAGTCTCTCTTTTAATCTTAAATTATACACATTGGACCTTGCTTTCTGCTTTACGCCAAATGAAATTTACAGCAAAAAGTTGTTGAACCAATATTGGAAAAGAAATGTAAAAATATAATTTTTCATCCCATAACACACATGAAACCTACCAAAACACTGATTTTACATACATAAGTATCGAATATAAATATTTTAAGATGAAATGAATGAATCAAATAACATAATCTAACAATTCTTAACCGTTGGATTTAGGTATTTGTCTGCTCAAAGCTCAACTTGCAGAATACAAGAAAACATGGGATGAACTGCGGTTGTATTTTACAACTCAATCCTCAAATGTTATCTGGAAAAAAAAAAGATTTCAACTTTTGGGGACTTCAAACATTCTAGAACAGAACATGATGATTGTCATGATGTTTTATAAATCCTTTTTGGTGTTCTTTTGGAAACAAAAGAAGGCTCATTGTAACATGATGAACTTTGGACAACAACAGCATGCAATAATTTTGATCAAACCTGTCTATAAAAAAAATGCAAATTTATTAAAGGAAATCAAAAGTTGAAGCTTGATTTTCTTCTAACATTACATCCAAGCAAAGAATAGTTATGTTACATGGACATTAAGTTGTAATAAGATTTTTTATATATTTTTTCTTACAAAAGTGAAAAAAAAATAGAACTCCAACATCTCCTGTCATCACTCTTTAAGCTACTCCAAATATTCTTACACCAGAAGATTTGCTCTCAATATATATATATTCTCTCTTTCTCCCTCTGCCTCTCTCCTGAAATTCCATTTCATTTGATTTATTAAAAGAGAAGTGGAATAACCAAGGAGAAAAGGAAGAAGAAAAAAAATGAACAGAAAAACCTCCTTTTCTGTTAGCATTGTAAACATTTTCATCTCAGATCTTAAATTTCTTCCCATTTTCTCTTCTGGGTCATTTCCAAGATGGTAACTTGTCTCCCTTTTCTGTTCTTTGTTTCCTGGTCTTTGTCTGGACTTTTCTTTTGCCTTGATCCACATGTCTCAGTTTTCAACCTTTTCTTTTGATTTTCAGGATTCTTGGGTTGTTTTCTGATTGATGCATGAGGCTTCCAGACGATCCTAGATTGGATTTTACAATTCTCAACTCTGTCTTTGATCAGATTCTACCTGTAATTCATATCAGAAGGTATGTTTTTTCTCCTTTTAGAATTCTTGTTTGATTGTTGTTACCGTTGTTCGCATTTTGATCTGCTTTGCTTCCTTTTTTTCTAAAGGATGGATCCCTTTTAGTTGCTGGTGGTAATTGGATAATTTGGTATTGGAGTTTTAACTGTGGAGGAAAGTTTCATTCATTGGATTGGTGTTAGTTTTCTGGTTGAATTTGAAATTTTGATATTTGAATCCAATTGTGGTACTTTTTGTTTTGAGATAAGTTCCAGACTTTTTCCTCTTTGGATTGAAATTGATGGTTTGATGATAGTGATTGCAGATAAGATGGGATCACATCATGGTAAACTCTTCATTGGTGGGATATCTTGGGACACTGATGAGGAACGTCTCAAGGAGTATTTCAGTAAATACGGAGAAGTGGTGGAGGCAATGATCATGAGAGACCAAAATACTACTAGTTAAAGTCGGCCAAATGCGATGTTTGTTCAAATGAATTTGTATTCAATGGTTGGGTTGGGATAGAAAATGTGGTGTAATTGTTTGATCAATTTTCAGGTTGAAGCAAAGAAGGCTGTTCCTAGGGATGATCAGAACATTATAAACAGGAACATGAGAGGCATCACTGGTTCTCCTGTTCCTGGAAGCATGAAAAGATTTTGGTCGGAGGTTTAGCCTCATCTGCCACCGAGAATGACTTTAAGAACTATTTTGATCATTTTGGTACAATTACTGTTGTGGTGATGTATGATCATAACATCAAAGGCCAAGAGGGTTCGGTTTCATTACTTATGATTCGGTGGAATATGTATATAGAGTTCTGCACAAAACATTTCATGAACTCAAAAGGAAATTGGTGGAAGTCAAGAGGGCAGTTCCGGAAGAACTATCTCCGTCCTCCACCCGCAACCCTGTGATCGGATATAATTCTGGTTTGAGTAGGGCTGCCAATCTCCTCAATAGTCATGCTAAGGGATATAATCTTATCCCACTTGCCGAGTTTGGAGTTAAGATGGATGGTAGGTTTAATCCTCTTCCTACTGGTCGAAGCGGGTTTCCTCCACTTAGTACCACCAGCTATGGGTTAGGCATGGATATGGAGCAGGGAATGAGCCCAGACTATGGTGGGAATTCCAACTTTGGCAATAGTCTAGGATATGGACAGATAATTAGCCCATACTATGGTGGGATTTCAAACAGGTTTAACACTCCTATAGGATATGGTGTTGGAAGTGGAAGAAATGATTCTAATTCGAGCTCTGCTACTCGGTATATCTGGGGAAATGGAGGCCTTAGCAATGCCACAAATGCTTCCAGCCCTGGTAGTTTCTTGGGGACTGGAACGGGGAGTTTTGGTCCTTTAGGAAACAGTGGGGCTAATTGGACTGCTCCTCCTGTGCAAAGTGGAAGCAACGCTTCTGGCTATACTGGTGGGACTGCCGGTTATGGGAGTGATGATGACAACTACGGTTTAGGAGCGGTAGGATATGGAAGAAACGGTGGCACTGGTGCAGCTCCGACACCGTCTTTTGCTGTTCCAACTGGTAGGTTTAAGGGGGGATCTTTACCATAGTGGTTCAGTTTATGGTGATTCAACTGGCAGTTCGCAGCTCCCGATTTTGATGGTTCGAGCTCGTTCAGTTACGGACTTGGCAATGCATCCTCAGATGTTACTGCAAGATCCTCCAAGGATTATGTTGGAAGTTACAGTGTCACAAGTAGACAGTCCAATGGAGGTAATGTTCTCTTTATGCTGTCCTGAAATTCAATAATCTGCATATCATTAATGTCATAGGACCGAATCACTGGATGACAGTATTTTACATCCAGTTATTTGAGCTTGGTTCTGAATGTTTTATTTATGCTAATATGCCGAGGCTCGATAAGTGAATGCCAGCTTGTTGCATTTGTTTGTTTCATATCCAGGAATTGCTGCCTAGGCGATTTGTTATTTGGGTATCAGAAGTTATGGTGTAGTGTGAATAAATTTGCAGAAACAGGCTAAGGATCTGCGAATTCGAAACAACTGCTGGTTTACTATGTCAGCTTGCAAGGAAATTATGACACTAATGAGGGTTACTGATTTGAAATATACACATCCAGAACAAGGGGGTTTCCTTAAGGTTTGAGTTTCGATTCGTTTTTTTCTTCTCTTATATTGTAATCCTGACAATTTAGGTTTCGATTCTTGGTATTCGAGTGAGGTGTACAATCAGATTGCAGGATATATATACTCCAGTGTACGAGGCATCTTCAGCATGGCGTTCCGGCAGCGGTTCATCAAACCATAGGGTATTGATTTTGTTCTTATTTTCTTTTTAAATTTGTAATGCCCTGGCAGAGTTGCTGGTTCTTGTCATATTACCTGGGATTGTTTTTCTCTCAGATTGTAAGGAGTTCTCTGTTCAGTATACTAGTGTGAAACATTTGAGGGATTTGAGCTATCCGTATAAAATAACAATCCGATTCGGTACATAAACACAGCTTTACTTACAGTAATACAGTATATTTAAGCAACAGTCTGCTTTTGCTGCTATTTCTCCGACTGTCGCGTTCGACGTTCATCTTTTCCTCGAATCTTCTGAGAGGAAAATGAAATCATTGAAGTACCTATTTAGATTCTGTTAATGTACATGCAATAAGATGGTCTCTTATTCTCCATCTTGTGATGGCAAAACAAAACTTGTTAGCCAATCGCCTTTTCATGATGTAAATGTAAAGTGAATATGAATGTATTATGTCCAATGATACCTTGGATCTTATTATTACAAAACAGCAGAAAGTGGGATCGGATTATCACATAATATGATTACATGCAGAAATTACACTGTGATTAACATGGAATGTGATTTCTTGCAATTATTTTGAAAGTTTAAAATCAGCAGAAGACTTATAAAAAGGAAAGGTTCATATGCATATATATATATATATATATATATACATACTGTCAGACATTGAAATGGAAGAAAGCTAAATAAACAGTACAAAGTTACAATGAAAAGACCACATGATACATTATTACATTTCACTATTAGTAGCATTAGTCTCCTGTCTTCACCCTAAATTTCTAGTCATTTGTGAATCTTCCTTTGAGCGGAGGATCGGGAAGCTTAGAAAAAAGCCCTACTTCCATAGAAAACCCGAGAGCCGGTGTTTTTCGATGCCTGAATTTTCTGGTTGGTGGTGTTTGAACTCTCAGATTTGGTCGGTCCGCTGTCGATGTCCAGTGGCAGTTTCATCTTAGCTAATGACTCGGTGAATTGCTGCATGCTTTTCATGTACATGTCCACTATGTCTTGCTGCACCAACTTCTGCTCGGGCTCAATATTGACGGAAACAACGGGTTTCATGGAGGAATCGCTTTGTGCTGCAGAGGAATGGCTGTCAACATCTCCGTCATCCGCGCTCTTCTCTTTCGGGGATGACGTGTGTTCCTGAGTAGAGGTTTTTGAAGCAGCCAGACCATCAGCGGACTCAAAACTGGCAGCGGCCGGTGGAGATGAAACCCCGTTAGTTGACACACTGCTTGGAGGAGAATCAAGCTTGGGGGCTTGGATGGAATCGGCAGTAGCAGTTGAGAAGCTCTCCACTACATGAACACCCATGTCTGAACTAATTTGATTCTCAGCATCAGCAGTGACAAAACTTTCCGAACTTTCGGAGTCCAAATTCGAACATGGGATCCCATAATAATACTCAGAAACCATCATCTGGTTCTCATTCACAATTTTCGGATCCGGAAACTCAATCTTTTCCAAGTCACGCTCGTTTGTTTCCGAATCCTTCAGAGTTTCATCAGCAGCCACCACATCTACAGGCATTGCAGGAATGGCCATTACTTCAGGAGACAATCCAGCGCATGCAAGAGACAACTGGACGAAACCTGAAGGCGAATGGAACAGATCGGTCGAAGAAAGAGAGAATTCTTTCTCCAACTTGCCATTCTTGAGAAGCACTTCGGAAAGTGGCACCAATACAAATCCCAGCAACTGGTCTTCAAGATAATTCCTCACTCTACTCATCATGAAAATCTCGATTTTGAGAGACGAGTCAATGGTTCGGACATCGAGACGTAGGTTATCGTTGAACACCGGATTCCTCCCGCCACCATTGACGATCTTGGTGAGAACTGTGCTCTCAGGATCAGAGGTGAGACAAAGCTTTGCATACACATCCTGCTTGTGGTAAATGCATATGTTTTGGATGTCTCTTGCCTGATGAACATAAACCTCAAGAACACCAATGGAATTCTGTTCCTGTCTGTTAACCTCGGACCCATTCGACGATAAACCACCCGCATTCCCACCGGAAAACTTGGGTGTCTGGTTCTCAGGCTCACCCACAACAGAGTTCTTGAACGGTGAGACGACTGACTGCGGGGAATCCATGATAACAGCAAGAAAATGAACCTGGCAAAGAAAAAGAAAGCAACTTTATGGAAAATCAAGTCATCCAAAACATCAAAAGTAGAAAATAAAACAATTCCAAGAACATAAAGCTTGACTTCCAAATCAAAACCCAAAAACCCCCAATCTTTCAAGCCCTAGCACATGAGAATTTGAAGCTAAAAGGCAAAAATTAACCTTTATGCTGCTAAGAACCCAAGCCACAAAGCCTAAATCCTTAAAGTAAGCTGAAACAAGAAACCAACCAGGCTTCAACCTCCAAAGCTGAAGTTTTTGGCTGAATTTGGCTTTAAAAAACCAGAGAATTCTCTTAATACCCAGATACTAAGAAGAACCCCCTGAAAAGCTGAGAATTGTGAGTGATAGTTTCAATTTCAAAACACCAGAGACTTTGCAGTTCAACAGTTTAAACCCAGATTCCAATAAAGCAACGAACTTAAACAATAAAAGGAAACCCCGGAATCCAAGGAAAAGAAAATAAAAACAAAACACCAAAAAAGTAAAAGAAAATCCCAATGAAAATCCCCAGATTTGCTCTTTATGGATTAACTTAAACAATTCAACTCAAATAAAATAAAAACAAAGAAGATCATATAAATTATATTCACCTTAAGCTCTGACTTTATGACTCCAAAGTCAAGAAAAACCGAAGTTTTCCTTGGAATATGTGGCCGTGACAGAAGATCCGAACACAACCCAGGTCTTAGATAGAGGTGTTCCTTTTTTGTCCAGCAACAAGTGAACTGGTTATAATAAAAGGCAGAAGCAAAGAGAGAAAAACGAAGAGGATTCTCGGGGGCCGTCAAAATTGTCAGAAAAGGAGCTGTTAAATATGGATATTTTATTGTTTAAATTATTAATGTGAACTCCTTTATATCTATATGGTTGATGAGAAAATTTTATTGTTACATTATTTCATGTTTTACATCTCGACTTCAACCGTATTCTGTCAGAAAAGTCGACTTTAAATATTTTGTTTTGATTATTCAATAATTATGGTATCAATTTTACACTTTTCAAAAGTTTTCCTTTGATTATGAATGAGATTTATTACATGATTCTTTTACTTTAAAAATTAAATCAAATTTAACTTTAAAAATAGTAATTCGTTTACTGGAATAAATTGGAAGAAAGGTATGAATATGTTTTAAAAAAATAATTTATTACAATTTATGTATTATATAACTTAATAGGGTCAACTACACTCAAAGTTACTTTTATTTTCGGTATGTTTTATTTTGGTTATCGTTTAACAAAATATATTTTTATCACTTACTTTATCAGTTTATTATATTTTGATCATCGAGTCGTCAATTTCCGTTAGTTTGATAACGGCATTTAATAAAATTATAAAAATTTCTAATTTAACCATTGCGATTTAGATAAAATGATAATTTAATTCATAAATACTCTAAACCTCTCCTTTTAACTTATATTTCTTTTGTTCATTGTCTATGTTGCTCTGATCGATGATAGCTACTAGGGATAATAAACGGGCGGGATGAGTTAGATATAATGGTGAGTATTTCCGCATGTCACGCGGACTACCCAGGTTCGATCCTGGGTAACTACGCCAAAAACTTGAACGCGTGTACATGTGTATGTTGTGGCACGTAAATCTATGTAAGTATACACAATCGATATAAGTAATACAACACTGAGTGAGTATTGTCTTCACAATGATTGGGGGAATTCTTTAAAGATTGCTACATATAAGAATATATGTCATTAACTAATCATAAACGCCTAAATATAATGATATAAACAAATGAAGAAAGAGCTATGACAGATGGTATGAACAGATGTAATAAGTTTGATGAGTCAAGAATTGTGTGAAGTGAAGTGAACAGATAATTTTTGTCGTGGCAAGAAAAATATGCAAGAGTAAACAAATAAAATTTGCTAAGGCAAAAATTAATTGCAAGAATAAGTAAATAAAAGTTGCTAAGGCGAAAAATGTTCAATTTCTGAATATAGTCTAACAATCTCACACAATCAGACTTTAAATGAGCACTTGGGTTAGATTTGTTATGGCGAGAAATTATTCTATGCCTAGGATGATCTAAGTATGTTTTGCCTATTTTGCCCAACAGGATTTACTAAAGTGTTCATAAGTTATCTCTAATAAGGAACCTGAAACAACTATTGCCACAACAATACCTCTCAGGGTAAACAGTGACCCTACCTTATCGATTGAGTATTATCCCTTTTAGTCGCTTGAAACGCGTTCCTTATCTCTAAGGCTGATTAAAACCTCACCATCCCGGATTAGTTCCATTGTTCACGTAAATCTAACCTAACTCTTTCGATATTAGGTATCAACTTCTAGAAAAAATTGTTATCTCTCAACAACTCTTAAAAAGACTAGGAATATTATGCCAAAGCACCAGACAATCTCTCAAAAGCTCTTACAGTGCTAAGGCATAAGATTAAAACAGTGAACAAAATAGAAATAAACATAAATATATTTATCATCCATTAAACATAAAATAAAGTACCATCCAAACAACTCCAACACCAAATAAAACAGTTCATGGTGTGGCTAAAATCATCCCAAAATATTCATTAAGTATAAGCCCTTAAAAGATAAAAAATGAAGAACAAATAGAAGGAAACTCCCAAAAACAAAGATGTTGTCGTGACATCAGACCATCACCATGACTACTCCAGCGCGCTAGCCTCTCTCGAAAACCTAGCAGTTACTCTGGCAAAGCCCGACTATGGAGGACACCAAGGAAGGACGAGAGGGGAACGGTGGAGAAGAAGGTGCTACAATCGTATTTTCTAAAGCTTTTAGGGTAGGTGAAAGTGGGTTTTTTTCAAAATGGTGAGCATAGTGTGTTATTTATAGTGGAGAATTTCTAGGTTTAGTTCCCTTGAAATTCCCCCAACTACCCTTGAATTCATGCCTATTTCGTGAATAATATGGCAATTAACAGTGGTCCCAAATCATTAGCAGGGGTAGGGGTTCACATGAGGAGCATTGGACAGCTAACCACACAACGTCAATAAATTTGTCTCGTACTGTATCAGACTTGTAAGATAAAACTTGTCGTGGCAAAAAATTCCTCACTGTCATCATTTTCAGTTTCTTTGGTCCTCGCACAAAATTTTTCCAACAAATAAGTTCCTCATTGGTCATTTCCTATCATCTGCATCATCACAACCAACACACAACCCTTCTCATCAGCAATATCAGTTTTATAAAGAAAAACTAGCAGAGGCAAAACTTTTCCACCACATACATGAAATGTCCTAAATGCAACTAAAATGTGATGGCAATGGCTTTTAGACAAATAATAACTTAAGTAAAAAGACCTAAAATATAGTTTTTTACGGAGTTATCACACCCTCAAACTTAAGTTATTGCTTGTCTTTAAGCAATGGATAATGAACAACAGAAAATAAAATGCTATGACAAAGCTATAATTAAGACATTCAAGTGGTCTAAAATTTCAGCCATCAGCAAAAATTTTGGCTTCAACATTCTAGACTAATTGAGAAGTCAAGTTCCCTTCCCTAGACCAAGACCCTTTGCAAGTGTGTGTGTGATTGTATCTAGTCTATGCTTAACGAAATTAGAAAGTCCCTATGTAAGTTCCTTTGTTTTCTCAAGGCATAAAATTATTCACTAAGCACAAAATTACTCATATTTATTCAACACTTAAACTTTTTAATTTTTTCATTTTTTAAACACTGCATAAGGGGAGTCAGCCTATCACAACTACGATTCACCCTTGTTGTGGCTTCCATTTATTGAAACGTAGTATCCAGGCAATGCCTCAAGAAAGCAAATATGCAGAGTCATCCTGTGACTACTTTTATTTACTCATGTGCTAAGGTTGTTATTTATTCAAGAGGTTTCCAGGTAATGCCATCACACATAGGAGTGTCCCTTTACAGTTATGTCAAGGCATTTATTTGTAATACAATTCAAACATTAGCATTAAGGAGTTTGACTTAGCTTTTTCACGCATTGATTTAGCAGTTAAATTCATTACTAGAATTTTATTCCACGGCGCACAAAAATTCTTTCATAAAAATTTTGTAAGTTTCTTAAGCATAGAAAACATACAATCGTGTTCAAAGAGTCACAAAGAATCAAGTCCTAGGGTCGGTTCTATCCTCCTTAGTAGTCATGTACATTAAGTTCTAGCTATGGAAAAAAATATTTTATCATCACTGGGCATCATCAACTTATTCCAGGTAACTAACATAATCTTAATTAATGTCATAACAAACTTTTTTTTGCTAACATTATCAATGCAAATGATTAAGTACGAGCACAATACTTACCCCAAACTTGAGGGATGTATTATCCTCGATGCATGTCAACTAAGAAAATTAAACTAATTTAAATGCAAGGCAAATGTGGTGGGGGAACTTTGTTGGACGCTTAGGTGCTACGTCTCTTGAGTGGGTGGTGGGCTATCAGAGTTTGTATCATCGAGCATGTATCATCAAACAACTCCAACACTAAATAAAATAGTTCATGGTGTGGATAAAATCATCCCAAAATATTCATTAAGTACAAGACCTTAAAAGATTAGAAATAAAGAACAAAGAGAAGAAAACTCTAAAAAATAGTGTTGTTGTCGTGACATCAGACAATCACCATGACTGCTCTAGTGCGCTAGCCTCTCTCGAGGGCCTAGCCGCTACTCCAACGAAGCCTGACTATAGAGGACACCAAGGAAGGATGAGAGGGAACGGTGGAGAAGATTATGTTGTAGTTGACTTTTCCAGAGCTTTTAGGGTATGTAAGAGTGAGATTTTTTTCAAAATGATGGCCATAATGTACTATTTATAATGGGGAATTTCTAGGGTTTATAGCCCTTGAAATTCCCCTAACTACCCTTGAATTCATGCCCATTTTATAAATAATATGGCAGTTGGCACTGGTCCTTAATGAATAGTAGGGGCAGGGGGTTCACGTAAAGTATATTGGATAGCTAGCCACGCGACGCCATTAATTTTATCTCATACTGCGTTAGACTTGCAAGATAAAACTTGTCGCGGTGAAAAATTCCTCACGGTTATCATCTTCAGCTCCTTTGGCCCTCGCACAAAATTTGTCTCGATAAATAATTTTCTCCTCAGTCATTTCCTACCACCTCCATCATCATCACATCCAACATACAACCCTTTTCATCAGCAGTATCAGTTTTATAAAGAAAAACTAGCCGAGGTAAAACTTTTCCACCACATGCATTAAATATCCTAAATGTAACTAAAATGCGATGATAATGACTTTTAGACAAACAATAACTTAATTAAAAAGACCTAAAATATAGTTTTTTACGGAGTTATCAACGGTTCATATATCTATTTCTCTATTCCTATATTAACTTAATATATTCATATCCACCACCCACGATGAGTAAAATTTTAAATCCACACCCGCCTACGCGGTTATTGTAACACCCACAACCCGTATCCGACCCGGATACGAGTCTGATGTGTCACATTGACTTTTCAAACATATACATTTATAAAAACTATAGAAAATTTAAACTTTCATTAATATAACGCTGACCATTTATATAAGTACGACCAAAATATTACAAAACTTATCAGAGCACATGTAAATTACACTTGTTCTATGCCAACACTTTTATACAACAAAATACATACTGTGAATTTACTTCTCATCTGATCTTCGAGTGTATGTACATTATCCTACTTATCTTAAACCTGATCGCCCCTCTTTTCAATCTTTCAAAATCAAACCTTAAAGTTTCAAAACTTTCATTTTAGTCACTAACCCTGATAATGGGACGTTACAGTTACTTTCTCAAATCCACCTT